AAAACATATATGATAAGATTGCAACATTCAAAAATATTTTATATATATTGCGATACTTACGCAAAGTATAGAATTCTACAATATATTTTTAATAAACAAAATTGGCTATTCTTTAAGAACAACGTGGCATATCCAAATATGGATATATGCAAAAAAACGCACTCTCTCGATCGTTATGTCGAGAATCGAGAAGAGATACACTCATCGTCCTCACGATCTCTCATTTATCCAATAAAAGAAGCGCAAAAGAGCGGATGCAACGTAGAAGCAATATATCGCGTTTTACGGGCGCATAATGCAGCCGACGGTTCGTTCTCAACGTCCGAGTCGCGCGTCGGGAAGTTCTTACAACACTGTAATACACCAATAATTTCTTCGCTCTTCTTTGTCTAACTTGTTTCGATAATCTGTTCACTATTTTTACGTCGGTTCATTCAGTTTTCTAATATATTTTTTCATCGTTGAAAAAACGTCTGTTTCCGATTGATTCCCTTATTTTGTTACTTTTTTAAAAATAATTTTATTTTATTTTATTTTTTTTGTTCGGATTATGTTTTAATAAATAAAAGAATCTTAAAGTATAAATTTTTTACATACTTTGTGGGATAATGTGTGAGATAACATAAAGATAATCGATTAACTTGCTACGAATGTAATTGATTCCTGACAATATTTTTATCAATTTGCTCCGTATATTATCTCTCAAAATACAAGTGTGATAAGTATGTTTGGATAGTAATAAATCAAGATATCAACGTCAACGTAAGAATTAATAAAATCGATAACATATATAACATATAATAAATCGACATATATATCTAAGAATGTATTAAGAACTTGATAACGCATTTTATGATACTATTAGTCAATTTATATTTACTAACCTTAATATTTACCAATCTTGATATCAAAATTTTTAATTTCAATTAAATTTTTAAATGTACTATTAAATTTATATGGTAATATTCAAAATTATTTTTAGAGGGATTTTTATTCTGCTAATAGCACATAAACAGCAATTTTTTGCGTTAATGAATTGCCTTTTTAGATATTTTTGGATATTTTAGAGTTTAAATATTTCTTCGTTAAATATTTCTGAATCAAAAAAATATTAGATTTTGTAAATCATAATTTTAACTTTTAATTCCAACTTTTCTTTTTAAATTTCGGGAGAGGGTTTGAACCTCCCCAAATCTTCCTTTACAGTTACGCTTATGATTACGATACATTTTATATATAAAATTGATATTAATACAAAGTACTAGTATCACGTAATAGTTTATACGTGATTCACATAGTATATTCTCTAGTAATAAAAATATGAAAAATACGAGCGGATATCGCGGATATCCTTTGCATCCTGATTCGCTTCCATGTGAGGTAGTCGTTCGGTGGTTCAAATGGAGTCTTAAAAACGGGACACCTTACAGCTGACGGGTATTACGAGTTTTCGTGCTAGAGCCGACTGTATGTCCAATAAGTAATGACGTAGGGATGTAAGGAAGCCTTGATAATTCTTCGAGCATGTAGCCACGCAATTAAGGTGTAACGTTTTGAAGTTCTGGTCGTAAACAACGCGGGCAAAGTAGCGGAACCTTCGAGGCTCCGGTTCCGCCCGTCAATTGTTACCAATTGTTGCCAATCAGAGTAATACGTGTCATTATGCCGAGAGAAGGCTGGCAACGGTGCGCAGCCTTCCCCTGCCTGCGTACCAGCCTGATTACACCGCGGGTAATATTAATTTGCCGCTAATTGGATAGTATCTGACGGACGCGCGCGTAGGTCGAAATCAGTGTTTTACAGGACGATACGCCCTTCGCCTCCCTGTAAAAAGGAATTAATCTCCTTTCGCTATAGGTAAACAATTCATCGGCCATCCGTGATTTTTCTTTTATAAATTGCATTTTCTGGAAAGAAAATGTATACATTGTTTCATTTATTCCGTTATTAACATCAGCTATATTAATTAATTCGCAAGCAATTGTAAATGTATGTAACAATGTGTGTCACGAGTTGCTACGAAAGAAACTTATACCAATTGGCAAAAATTAATTTTGATGAATTATTACATTCTTACTTCGGTGAAAAAAAAAATATCTCAAATTTAAAGATGTTATGTAAGATTAAGAATATACCATTTTGATGATCAGTCGACAGTAATTAAAATCTTCTATTTTTATTATTGATAACTATTATGTTTCATGTTCGTTAAGACCGACGCGAGTGTTTCGCGTGTTATTTTATTTATTGACGGTTGTTATTTTGTCGTGACTACGATTATGCATACTAGGATTAAATGCAGGAATCGATAGCGTGTATTCTGCATATAATTATCGTGTATAAAACGTATGTATGTGTATGTATAAAATATCATGCAACTGCATAAAGATTTACAACTTTTCCATGATGCTCGTCTTCCTCATAGAATTATAATCGTTCCACTGCAGCGGACACATTGATTAAGCGGCGTAGTACACTTTGCAATTCAGGAATCCGATGGGTTAGACCATGGGCGTAATTCTCCACCTTTCGCCGCGCCATCAGTGTCGGCGGCTACTTTGTCCGTGTACCAGT